AATATTGGTCGTGGTGCAGATCAGGAGGCGGTGGGGGCTCTCCGGCGGACACCACCATCACGGGCCTTGGTCAACCAAGCAGACAAGTTCCTCTCTGGGGGTGCAGAGCCCCCCGTAGGCGAGGAGAGCAGGCGTCCACTGTCCCCAGGACAGGAAGGTCACCTGCTGCTGGCCACTTCTGCTGGACTCCACCTTAGATCTGCTCATCTTCAGAAGAACTTTGATAAACCACATCAAGGTTTGGGTCCAACAGACACACTGCCGCCAGGTCTGCACCAGACCACCAGGTTGGCTTCCCGGGGCAGCGGGAAAGCCGATGACCAGCTGGGTTACTGTGAAATCCCATGGCGGACCTGCGGGGGGGCCGGGGGGCCCTCAGCTCATCTGTTTATGCCCCCTCACCTGCCGAAGAGGTAGCCTGTCGCACCGCAGTAAGGCAGTGCGTGACGCGAGCATGCAGACGGAGCCCTGCGAACAGGCCAAGGGGGGGAGGGGGAAGGCACAGGAAGCAGCCTGTAGGAGTAATCACTGCTGCAAAAGCCTTTCTCCAATTTGACTGCTCCCCCCATCTGCGGATCACCAAAGTGAGACTTGGAGGAAGTGTGTGGAGCAGCACTGGACACCAGGAGCCATCAGAGAGAGAAAAAGTCTGCCTGTCCTCCTACCTGCCCTCCTCCTTAAGTCTCCTCCACAGCTTCTCTATCTCTGGTCTTTATTAGCTTTCTATGTTGAGACACCCCCTGCAGTTAGGGGTAGAGGAGGAGGATGGCAGTGCCCGGACCTCTTGTGCCATTCCTGATGCCCAGCTGGCATTCCCCTAGGTTTTGCTACAGAGTTCATGCACCTCTTACGGCCCCCAAAGAAACCAAGGGTAGAGACGGTTTAATTACATTTACAATAAAATACATTTCAGGAGACACTGGAGAACCAAACCTAAAGAACCTCTCTGAGTCGTTGAACTTCAGCTAACAGACGTCCTCAGTGACGTGAGGCTACATAATGAGAGGGGTGGGTCTGTGCTGGAGGCGAATGCTGAAACTCTGAAGGCAGGCCAGCTGTTTATGGTGGCCTCTCGGCACAGCGGCCGGCTGTGTGGACCGTGGGAGGCTGGGCCTGGTCTGAGCCGCTTGGCGGGGACAATGCCGCTTTTGACGCAGGTGTGGTTCCGATCGCATACTGGACAGCTTATACTGGCCCTCGATATTTACGGAAGCGGAGGCGTCCTGGGAGAACTATGAGGCCTTATGTGCGTGTTTGTGTGCCAAATAGGTACGGAAACCCACGGAAGGGACTCAAAGGCCTGCAACCCTCCCAGCACAGATGGAAAATTACCATCCCCGCCCTGTGGCTGGCCCAGAACTGGACGCCTGTGAAACACCCAAAAGACATGGGGTTCACAGAATCTGAGAAGCAGGATCTTCGGGCCCCTGGGGGGACACAACTGCCCTTTGCTGGGTGCTGCTTGACAGGGTGGAAAAGCAAACTCAGACAGACTGGCCACGTGTGGCTCCCAGTACCCATATTCCCCCAGGATGAGACTGGGCCCCATGCTCTGGTTTCCCACAGTTTGGGATTTGGCATTCGCTGAAGGAGCCCGCCATTCCGCTGGGTACGGGGAGCCGGGGTGAAGGCTGTAAGCTTGCATGCATGCGTGTGGCTGCGCATTCGAAGCCAGGATCCGAAAGGGGATATCCCAAACCCGGGCCCTCGACGCTCCACTTCCACAGCTCCTGGTAAAAACACAGCGTTCCAGACCTTCTGCCCTAAGGAAGGAGAGACCCAGCACCCCCGCAGTGATTCATCACACCCTGTGTACGGCAGCTTCCAGGAAGTGTGTGTGTGTGTGTGTGTGTGTGTGTGTGTGTGTGTGTGTGTGTGTGTGTATAACAATAAAAATGGCTGTTTGACTTCATCTCCCCGGGGGCCTGCATGCTCTGCAAGCGATGCACTAAATTACGGCCCGATTCCAACGGAGGAGTCCCCCCCCCTCCTCGGGGATCCCTGCAGCCTGCGTGCTGGAAGCTCAGGCTTCCCCATCAAAAAACCCACTGGAATGCAGGCGGTGGTTACTGCGCTTTCTGCTGTCTGCCTGTAATGCCAGGGGCAGCATCACCAGAACTTTCCACAGATGTGGCTTGCAGCTGACAAATTTAGAGGATGGCATGGGATCTTTGGTCAGAGGGAAAATCTGGTGCGGCAGCCTACGGGAGAGGAGCTGGTATCCTAGCCAGGACGCCAACTGTCACGGTACCATTGGAGCCGGCCCACCCGGCCCTGCAGACAGCTGGACTTATTTACTGTGAAATTCAGGTTAAACATTGCATTCAAAGGTTCAACAGGAGAACCCTGCCTGGAGGCTGGCAACCGTGTGGGAAATAGAGCAGTTCCACCACCATCAGTTGGCATGCTGCCCCAAACTGTGCCTTTGCCCCATCCCATGACCCGGAGGGTGACAGCGGATGGGTGCATGCGGCGGCTTCTCATCCTTCTGCTGTCCCCAGATGTCACGGCCACTTGATTCCCAGTCATAATCTCAAGCCACCAGACTGCACTCAAGGCCGCCAAACCCCACTGGCTGCTGGGCGCTTCCACTTGTTCGCCTTTACTGGGAAACTTTTGGAAATAAAACTAGCAATTTGTTCCTTTTCAGCTCCTATAATGACCAACCACTCAATCTCCGGCCAAAGTCAGAAGGGGAAATATAAATAAGCATTTATATTGGGAAACCAGATACAAACATAGAATCACTGGGCTGTTTGCAACATAGGAAGTAAAACTGAATAACTGGGTAACTCTTGACGACCAGCGACCACGTAGCAGATAGGAAATTAACAGAATTTCATAACCCCCCCACCCAGCTCTTCTGCCTCCTTTACCCACAGCAAGCTTTAATTGGTTCTGGATAAACCCAGGACAGAAAAAGGCTTGGCAGAGCCCAAATGGCTCTCTTCATGTGAGGGATAAAACGGTGCTTGTTCTCTTTCCCCAGGCTGGGACAACGCGGCTCTCATCGCAGGCGGCTCTGCGTGGAGGCAGTAAACCCGGCTCTGGACGCCAACCCTCAGACGCCCAGGCCAAAACCAACTCGTTCTACCCAGTGACTTCAGATGTGCTCGGTCCAGGAAGCTGGAGGTGAGCGCGGAGCCAAAGCCGTCACTTTGCCACGAAGGGAAAAAACAAATAAGAGGACTGACAATATGGTGTAATGAAAACGACAAACGTTAAGTGACAATCAGAAAACGGCTTTCAGAGAAACCAGCAGAGCGTGCTTGACGCTCACAGCCAGCCAGCACGGCACAGCCTGATGCTGGAATACCCTTAACAGACATAATCCTATAAAAAAGCACTTTATCCGGCAATTAAACATTAGCGTGACAGGCTCGGACAGGCCTGAAGGCACAGTGGACATTTAAAGACGCTAACTGCAGTGTTCAGGGCTGACCTCGGAGGTGGGGACTGGATGGTTTGGGCATCGCATCCCGGAAGCCTGATGCCAAAGTGGCCCTCTCAGCAGTGGCGCCAGTACTGAGGAGCCGTAAACGGCCATGAAGCAGCCAGCCCTGCCCATTTGGTCAAGCTGATTTGACAGTGAAGACAGAGCTCTGTTAGTACCAGAGGGCTACTAGAACAACAAAGCAGACTGAAAAAGGCAACTCGTCCTGAACAGGTATCAGTGAAGCAATCCAATCTCTGGTTATCTGCTGGTAATTAGTCTCCAGAAAGGCATGGCTAGTATTGATGAGATGTCAGTTGCTGTTTTTTCCCATCCCCTGAGCTGCTGGCGAAAGCAGTGCATTATTAGCCCTCCCTCTCCTTTTACCACCCCCAGCAGTAAAGCCAGCTAATGACCACACATTCAGAACTGAGATATGACGAGGAGCGAGGAACCCGTAACCAAGGAAACTCAAGGCGTACCTGTAAATGAATAAAAGCCCCGGGTGACATGCTTGCCCGCGTGTGCCTTCCGGGGCCGTGAGAGTGACCCGTGGCTCGGCTTACTGCTGGAGCGCCACCACATGCCAGGGTTAAGGCTGCTGAGCGCTCTTTAATGCCAGCTGCACTACACCAGTCATGTGAGTGCCGATAACTAGCTCTCTAAGTAAGTTAGCAGTGCCAAACCCTAAACCGGGCTGACTGGAATTTACACTACTCAGCTAGCTGGCTATAATAATAATAATAATAATAATAATAATAATAATAATAATAATAACCAACACACCAGCATCTGCTCCACAGGGGTACCCCCACTGCCGTCTGTCAGTCCAACAGCCACCCCACAGTGACCCCTCCCCAAGAACAGGGAGACAGGCCCGACCGGGTTCCCAGGACTCCCACCCTCGGGAAAAGATTAGGGGACAGCAGAGAGGTGTAGAGACAGCTCTGTAACAGCAAGGCTGTGCTAATGGCTGAAGGGGGGCAGAATGCGACATGCCACAAACAGCCAGGAATAAACAGCACTGAAATAGTACAAGTTGTACTTTATTCATCCCTGTGGGTTTAAAAACAAAGCGGAGACAAAAAATAAACAACAGCTGAAACTGCAGCACCCTTGTAATCATAGAAAGCTCTGTGTGAAGCTCTGTTCAAGCAAATTTAAGACACCCAATTACAGAGGATTCCAGGGTCATGAATGTGCAGCGATAGCTCAAGGTGGGCCCATTAGCTCCACTATTTCCCCTCAAAATATTGGATTAAAATATCCTGCTGGGTAATCAGTGGGCATTTTAATAAGATGATTATCCCTCTACATTCAGACCACTACCACTGTTCATTTTAGCACATCATAACAATGTCTGGAACCTTGTCATTAAATTCACATAAATTCTGTTAACTATCCTTTGATTGTGAATAAATGTACTGTTCAGCTAGTGCCAATTGTGGATGATATTTATGACATTTACTTTTTTTGGGGGGGGGGGGTGAAAGCAAATGGGAAAACTGACAAACACACAGTGTACATAAACCAGCACACACAAAAAAACTCACATTAGAGGGGACAACCTTTTAAAAATAAATTACACACACATCCTTTAAAAGCAAACACAGAATTAAAAACCAGACAGTTGATACAACAAATTAGAGCATGTACGCAGTTTTTAATAACATACACACACACACACACAAAGGAAAGTAAAGAGGACAGCGGGACACAGTGACAGCAGTGAAACTTCATTCCATGACCGGCGTGGAAATGCTGTCAGCCGCGGTCAGTGGGTGAGGGAGCTTCAAAGCCGGCATTCATAAAACGGCAAGCCAAGCGGATAAAGCGGTGATTCACCGGAGTCTCTGCCGGACACATTAAAAAGGGACCCGGCGCGGCTCCTCGGGGCTACGGCCACCGACGAGGTCCTGCTACCAGAGGAGCAGCTCATCCAGCGCTTGACGACAGGAAAGATAAACGCAAGAAAACCAAACCGAAGATCGGATGGCCTCCAGGTGATCGATTGGGTGTTGGAAAGAAGCGATTAAACTGAAAATAGAGCGAGGCTGGAGCAGAGGCGTGCATGGCACCCTGTAAACACAGCGGGCGGCGGACCGCTTTCAAGCCAGATCCACATGAAACACAAGACACCGTATCACTGAATAACGTCTGTCGGATTATTTAGGAAGACTGTCCGTGGGCTCTACATACTGTCTTTGTAAACCGTGCAAACCTCTCGTACTTTGAAGGGTTTAATTTTCGGAGTGATACTGAGGCGCATTACAGCGCACGGTATCTTAACACGATAACTGGAACCACCGCTGGTTCCGCTCCACACGGCGACATCCGATCCGCACCGATGAATAAATAAAGTAACTGCTTCTGCCAGGACAATTAACTATTCATGAGTAGTGGTCCCATTGGTCCACGAAGGTGGACTAGATAGCTTTGAAACCGAGTCATCAGTAAAAAATAAAAATAAAAAAGGAGGCGAAAGAGGGTGAGGGATCGAGACAAAGACGACGGTGAAGCAACTGGAAGCGAGACGCCGTGCGGTAAAGTTATCCCATACCTGTGTACTGCACGACAAACATTGTCCTCGGATCCGAAAGATTAACTCCTGCCTTCTGTAATCCCACCAATGTGAATGCAGTGCCAGCCGTCGGAGGAGGAAGGAGGGAGCGAGGGGGGAAGCGAGCGAGAGAGAGAGAGTCCCGAAGACGTCGAGAGTTGTGCTGCCGCCCGTTCCTCCTGCGCTCTGAGCTACATCAGGCAGGACGGATGGAGGAGGGACCGGCTCAGTAATAATCGTGTACACGCACACACACACACACACACACACACACACACACACACACACACACAGATTAGGTACGTATATCTTTGCGGGGACACACGTGTGCGCTATCGCCGTCACAGTCACCGAGGTGCTGTTCCGAGGCCAGACTCCGAGGGGACCGAGATTGACGCTGGCTTAAGTAATTAGCAGGGAGTTGATCTGTGACCACTCGGGAGTAAGTGTGGCCAAAAGCTTCCTGCAAATCTCAGCTCTAGTAGTGTGCATATGTTAGACGGCAATAATTACGAGAAATTCCGACAGAAAGGGGTACACATTGTGCAGAACCTCACATACAACTGAGATGTGAACTTCACCGTCATCTAATGAACGTCATAATAGTGCAATAAAATACAGCTTAATTACCTAGAAACCCCGAATAAGACTACAGAATAGAGGAATCACTGATGATTTATTGAATTCTCCGTATTAGACTAAAGGATTCTGCTGCATTGTTTGCAGAGGCAACGCTGAAAAAATCCACAGAGATGCAAGAGAAATTACCTGAGGGAACAACGAAGGATATTATAAAGAAAATACCCTGTTCTCCTGCCTGGCAGCCCTCGCGATTTGACTTTCGGAGGAAAAAAAGTCATTCGCAGAATCGTCCCAGACCCATTTCTAAGTTTAACTGAGAAACCAGCAGCCGCTGATGTGGAACCAAACAAGGAGATAGTTGTTGAACTCCAAGATAATCGCTGATCTGACTGAAAATGAACCGGTGGGGTAACGGTGCATTCTCATCTCTTATTTCTACCACTTGAAAGGAAATCGGGATGCGGTATAATGCGCACAAAGGAAAGAGCTGAGAGGTGAGACTAATATAACCCTACTAGACAGTGGTAGATTCAGACCGAGGCAGTTAGTCAGACGAGCAACAATACCCACACCGCAGTGCTTGGCACAAAACATGGGTCAGAGTTCCGGGAGCTACCAGCAGAGGGCGATTATGATGCTAGTGACCGACTGACGACTCTCAATCACAGTTCAGTTCCCTGAGCGACAGTCCGGTGTAGATTACAGTACCTTTAAAAATACACGAATCCGCAAAGATAAAGCTGTGCAAGTGGGAAATTATTTCAATACATTCATATTGAACTCAAGTCAAAAGTAGATCATTTTGCATTTGAGTACTAAGGTCTATCATATGCTGCCTGGTTTTAGCCGATGGGGGTCAGTAGCAAGAAGGCTCAAATTATTCTTTATCAGAAAAAACATGATAGTAAAACTCAGTGATTCAGTGTGCACCTTCACTTTTATAATGCCAAATGGACATCTATCAACATCATTTTCATTTGCAAGTTTGAAAAAGGACTATGAAAAAATCCAGTCAGGCCTGTGGTCAGGTCTTAGAAGGTCCAACACTCATAAGCATGGCTGCTTACCTTCTGAGAAAGATATTTCTGTACTTGTTTTATATATCCAACGGATGACACTTTGTTCAATTAAATGATTAAATAAGGCATTTTCTATATTAAGGATTATCAAACAATTGCTTTTTTAGGCTCAGGGAACAGTTTGAACCCCCCCTTCTTTTTTAGGAACTAAAACCCAGTCACTGCTTGGTCTTTGCAGCTACCTGCTATCATGCAGCTCAAGCAACCTCATTAAGTATCATTAACCTCAGTGACCGGTGACTTTTACCAACATACATACACCTGGTTGCATTAAATCTGCACTGGACAGACTGTCTGCATATCTGACGCACCTTGGCCCTGTTACTTTACCAAGCCAGTATGAAAGCATATCTTCTGACACAAGGCCCTCAAAGGCCTCTCCTCCATCCATTGGACGCATATCATATATAATCCAATCAGATCGCTCTGCTCTTGGTCTTTCCCAGTGGCAAGGATGTTTTTTTCCTCCATTTTCTTTTTTTGTTTGTAAAGTGCTCACTTTAGGAAAAAAGTTATCCAATTATGATTGGATACAATCTCAATCCCACTGACTTGGGTTTAGTGCGGGATTATGGAGATAAGACTATGAAAATGCACAGTGCTGGGAGCTACATGTGTAAATTGGTAAAAATATTTTAAGTGCTGTCACTAAGTTACTATGTATTTATAAACCATTACTATGAAGCCTGTTTACTGTAATTGTAATTCTGCTTGCATGCTCGATAAAACATTAACTACACAGTATTCCAAGATTTTGTATGGCTTGATTGATTCACCATCCATCCATAAAATAGGAAATTATTTCCATACAATCCAAATACTATATGACAAATTGAAGATAATGTTTTCTCTTATACATTTGATAAAGACTGTAAAACATGGCAGGGAAAAAGAAAAACGAACTTGACAGCATATTAAATGTCCATCAATCTGCAGAGATGAAGACAATGAAACATTCGAATTGATGTTCCCCTATGAAAGTCTTACCCCAGGCCTGGAGAGGAAAGACATATGATATTTGACATCGGCATCACCCAACACCAACAAGCACCTCTGCTCTGTAAGACATGATGTCAGAGAAACTGTCTGCTGCTGTTAAGCCTCTCGACTTGTATTGTTTAGCTTTTTGTTACGTGCAGGAAAAACAACTTGGGTTCCTCCTGAGCTGAAGACGATCTCTAACAGCAAAAGCGCAAGAGAAATGAGACTCATCCCTAACCAGAGGCCAGCTCTGTGCTTGCTTGTGAGATAATTAAAGGATGGCCAACAGGAATCCGGTGGCACTGGGCTTGAGTCGTGCTGGCTGTACAAGCAAGGCACCTGAGAGGCCAGGCCGTGCCCATAAAACGCGCAGTTACAGTAGGCAGTGGAGCTATTCACTCGTAACCTCATTAACACAAAAGCCCTTGCCAGCCATAGAGCAACCGATCACGAGAATCTCGTGAGGAATGCAGCTTGCATAAAGTCAAACACTTCTGCCTTTTTAAAAATGTTATTGTGGTTGTGTTTTACAGTAAAGACCAGCAAGCAATGAAAGGTGAGCACCTTCTCTCTGTCACTGCCATTACAACATTCCCTGCACTGATTTTTTAAAGCCTAAAGCTATTAAAATAGCTAAATATGTCACACATGCCTGCTAGCCCTGCTTGCTCAATAAAAAAAAAAACATGTCCTTGAACATCCAACTGGCATGTTTATAGTCAGCCACTGAATTGTGGGAGATTTCATACTCCAACACCACTGAACAAACAGGGGAACTGGCAGCTTGTCTTAGGAAGGAGCTAATGGAAATCATAGCAACACACGTACAGCAGCAAGTCACAGAGCGTGTGAGACTAGCACATGGCACGCATACATGTACTCTCACACAGAACAGCCACGCCAATGTTAGCACATCTGAGCATGACAGAAACCAGAAAGAAGCAAGAAAAAAAAAAACAGGAGCAGAGCTGTGTGCTGCTGTGAGCTCTGGTTCTAAGGATGCACCTCCTCAACCATGCCTAGGTAACCACTGCTGCCCCATGCTATCAGATGGAACTCTGGAGGATTACTACATAATATCTATTTAGCAATGAGTGCCATGCCACAGTCACAGAAATGGCTGGCAGGACGGTCTCTCCATCGACACAGTTTGGAGATTGCTCATAAATAAAGCTCATGCATTTGAGACTGATTCTGATTGTCAGTTTTGGTGAAGCAGAATGAATTAGATACAAAGTCACCCTGAACTCCCATTCAGTTCATGCCTGGCTGAGAGGAGATACTTGCCTTATCTATTTCTACATGCTACAATGGCTTCTGCTGCTAAAAGACATGCGTGTTAAGAAAGGACTTATAAACTGAAGACTAATTTCACTTGATTCACTAGCAGATGATGGAAAACTACTTCTGGTAAGTGATGACAAATTGCTTTTGGGAGCAGAAGACTAAGGCGGCTTCAAAACAAGCATGAAGCATGAAGTAAATTTGAGCTTTAATCACATAAAATAATTATTAATATGTATTTTCCTCTCATACTGCACCACCTCTTCTTCCCAGAGCATGAAATCCAGGCCTGAGTCCAGCCGAAGGGTTGGCCTTCAATCACAGGCCAGAAGCAATCAGCTCCACACGAGTGATGGATTCATCAGCCGCTACCCGCAAGGTGCTCCAAGCTTGAACCCAGATGAAATGGACAGCAAGATGGCAGGTAAATCCGGGGACAAAGCCTGGGAAACGAGCGTTCGCAAATTTGACAGGATGTCCACTGGGTTCAGGAGCAGCTTTCAGAGACTCCCCTGGGAAAACTGCTCGTCCTTGTGAAGCTTGCTAATTTGGGAAGACTCTGCTGGAAACGGGGCGGGGGAGGGGGGGATGGGTACCTTGAGCATCAACTCTACACTGTGTCCTATTTTGCATCCCTGATTTGCTCCCCCTGGAAACGTTTCACACACAGGCACTAAGAAGTAGCAGAAGGTACCTGGAAATCGGTCCATATGGGGATCAAGCAGCTTCAACTGTGGAGGTGACGGTTTGCGTGGTGTACTGAAGTGAATGTTGAAAGACAAGGAGATCCTGTAATTATCTGGGGTGAAATCTGGGCATTGTCCAAGAACATCAGACTCAGAAATCATGCTGTCAAAGATTGAGAGGAGCTGGTATTTAAAGGTTCAACTGGCCAGAAAACTGGCAAGGGTTTCGATGAACTGCTATGGTATTTGTAAAGTTCCACTGCGAAATCAATATAAACTTACTATTTGAGCAGAGATCGAGTATAAATGCCAGGGCTAAAGGGTCTGGGGCTGCTTAATGAACTCCCTTTGCTTTCCGTGGGCAGAATGTTGTCCATCGAAGGCCATTGATTCTGTGTCATTTGTCTTTCTTGGTCTTGACGGATAGCTAATGGGGTTTCTGAAGACCTAACAGTGGATAAGTATCACCCTCTATCTGGCCAAGCTCTGGACACCTCTATACAAATAGTGCTATCACAAATTCTCACATTGTGCAAATGCTTCGTGGTTGTTTATGTCCTATGTAAGGCAGTAATATATATATATTCAGTTCAGGAGATTGTCTTGACCAGGACCACACCCCTAAATGCATTGAAGCAACTGCCATGTGATTGGTTGATTAGATAATTGCATTAATGAGAAATTGAACAGGTGTTCCTAATAATCCTTTAGGTGAGTGTGTATATATATATATATATATATATATATATATATATATAAGGCAGTTCTGAAGGTGAAAGGGGGTCAAACACCGTATTAGTATGGTGTTCATAATAATCCTTTAGGTGAGTGTATATGTGTGTAGGTAGAACATAGTTCACAAATGTACAAATGTGTGCATATTTTTTTTTTAATATCAACCCACTGCAGGTCTTTCCACATCCCTGAGCGACAGCATACAGACGCTCCCTTCTTCTACAGGCAAGCCAGAGGTCTTCCTTTGAGTATGTGTATTTCTTCTGCCAGTTTAAACCTCCCACCCTGCACCCCGCAGCCTAACAATACGAAATGCAAACGGCAGCCTAAAGCGCGTCATCAGCAGAGCGGAAAACTTGGTAGAGAGTGAATGACAGCCGTGCAAACACCCCCCCCCCCCCACCATGCATACAGAGATCGCTCCTCGAGGCACCGAAACATGTGACTTACATGTCTGAGCTCTGGACCCTGAGGCAAAGCATAACTTTGAATGCAAGAACTCTTCAAACCCGTCACTAGCAGCTCCCACAAAGGAGGAGTAACGAAACAACACCGACTTTTAACACGGAGGAACAGCAGGGTGGATTTCCACGCTGCAAATCAACTCCAAGGGCCCTCAGCGGTAAGCTATTTTTAACAATCCTGCGCAAAAAACTTCTCACAAGACAAGTTACTTGTCATTGCGTGAAGATGAGTGTTTAAACACAATTACACAACATTTAATAATTTAGCATAGCTGGAGGGGAAAAAATGTTAAAATCCTTCTGTTAATTACATAAAAGGCTCTGGACCTTTATCTCAAGTGTGTGTTTCATTCTGATTTACTTCTGTCTCTCAGTATGCCAGGCACTGCTCCCCTCACCAATCTCACAACGCTCCCAATGTCAGAAAAGGAGATTGGAGACAGATGGGAGACGCAAAGGAGCTCACGTTTCTCTCTCTGCTTAATGGGAGTCTCCTCAGGATGCTGACGTGTTTGAAACAGACCGGTTCCCCCTCCGGAGCACCATCAACAGAGGTCAGCAGGGCCCTTCCCTCTGAACTGTGTATGATATGATGACGATAACGCCATTAATAAATATCATGTCGTGTGGCCGGTGGGTTCACTGATGGTATTCTGAAAACAGAGTCATTCTGACTTGGAGATGCTGCTCAATGCATTTATTATTCACTACGGGGAATTTATTAAACTTCCTGAGATATTAAATAAGAGATTAGGCTCACAAATGAGAAAAACCGCAGAGCGGAGCAGGCGTGGTGGCATATCGGGCACGGAGCGGCTTGGGCGCAGGCTGATGTGCGCAACCCAATTCAAGAAGTGGTACCAAGCATTATTTACACGCTTCCTGCCTGTCTGATACATTTTTCATCTATTTCTGTGCTTCACAAGCTCTCAATGTTGAAGAGACAAGTGGAAAATGTAGATGTCTCAAGTTAAACACAAATAGCAATATACAATGTATATCCTGGGCCGTCTTCATTCTAGGGAAGACCTAATGATGTAACACACAACACACACGCACGCACATGCGATTGTATTCATATCTTTGTGGGGACTGTCCAATCATTTCTAAGGGAAAAACCCTAATCGTGACAATGACAACCTTTGCCCCTACCCAGCCCTAACCTTATCCATAAATTAAGTTTTTGATTGAAGTCACAGATTTTATATAAAATTGAGTTTCCCCTTGTAGGGACTGAAGAATGGTTCCATAACATCAAAATAACAGCTTTTTATCACATTGTAGGGACATTTAGTCCCCACAATGTAATATATACATAACTCACGCATACATGCACACACTATTTCCTCTGGTTGACCGAGATGACAAGACGAAATGTTGCTTTACATAAAAACACTACAGGGAGCATCCAAAAAACGTAAGCAAGTATGTTTTCCATCTTGGCGTCTTCAACCACCACTGACAAGCATCGGCCAACTACGGCACAGTGGCGAGTCATCTGAAAGCCAGTGAAACGTGTGTGAACATCACTCATTCTCACTTCAGAATAACACAGACTGCCAGTTATGAGAAGCACGATAATCACACTGCATTATGAACAACAGATGTTGCCATTGTTCAAAATGAGGGGAAAAAACTTGTACAAAGTGAAACAGTCCAAACAACACTTTAACCCAGTAAAACAGGTAAACCATTTAAACAGTTTAAACAGACATGATTGTAATTTTAGATTAACACGGAGGTGTCAAATCACACACACACACGCACACACCATCTTCTGTTTGACAATTTTCCTGATAGGAAAATCGAATAATGGTGCAGCTTGAGGCTGTATGTACTGTATAGAACAAGCCATCAGACAGGAAGCAGACATATCACATGAGTATGTGGAACATCATCACTCAGTTTTTCCCATACAGGCTGTTTCTCATTAACTCTACTTTCCTTGGACCCAGTACCTCATGTTTTGTCAACTTAAATACTAAAAATGTCTAATACTAATGTCTGGGGTGAGGGGGTGGGGGGGGGATCTTGTGGAACAGGACTTCGAACAGGTCCTCTCCAGTGTCCCCTGAATGACCCAGGAACAGAGGCAGCCCAGGCAAGCTGGTCCTCAGGGAGGTCAATGATTCTGAATATTCATACAGGTTCTCTGCATACTGTCTGCAGGATATTGTAAACTCACTGAACCTGGGACACCACATAGTAAGGAAGGGTGAGAGAAAGGCGGGGTCAGTGATAGCCAAAGACAGGAGGCTGGGAAACCACATAGTAAGGAAGGGTGAGAGAAAGGCGGGGTCAGTGATAGCCAAATACAGGAGGCTGGGAAACCACATAGTAAGGAAGGGTGAGAGAAAGGCGGGGTCAGTGATAGCCAAAGACAGGAGGCTGGGAAACCACATGGTAAGGAAAGGCAAGAGAAAGGTGGGGTCAGTGCTAACGCTAGCTAAAGACAGGAAGCAGGATTGCACGTGTCGCCCATCAAATCACATGGCTGGCAGCCAGTTGGCTGCACCGGGCTGCGTGGAAGCCTTGTTCCCAACCACACCTGTGCCATATGCACCGACAAATGGAGAGCCTGCCTTTCAAAGGGCCTCAAGAGCCGAAATATGGCTATTCTCAGATCTTACTGGAGGTAGCCTAATCTGCCCACTTACCACAAGTACCGCAGGAAAACAAATGCCTCTTCAGAGAAGTTACAACCGAATTACGAAAAGCAAAGAACAGCCTGGCATGTGTCTGGGGATCAGGTCTTGCAAACAGCCATCATATCTGATAACAGAAAATGATTCATTTACAAGCTTTCAGGCTTGAGATTTAATAAAAAAAAAAAAAAAAAAGTTGTTCTGTTTCCAGGCGAGTCTTGCTCCTTCCTCAAAGCTCCATACGCTGATCTTGGACCAAACACTCCAGATTCATTAAGGATCGGGTCTTTTGCTCCCTGCTCAGATACAAAATCGTCAGTGCAGTTGACTGGAAGCGTGAAGGGCCTCTGGTATTTGAGGAAGGAGATTATAGTACGGTTATTAAGCAGAAAGCCTAAGGTCATGAAGATAGCGTGCTTCTGCTAGACCAAGGGTGGCCAATCTTATCCGGAAAGGGTCGGTGTGTGTATGGTTTTTGGGATAACCTTTAGGTCAGCTGTTCAAACCCAGGTGTGAGGACTCTTCAGCCAATCAGTCCTCTAATTAGTAATCTAATTAGGGAGTTTCAGCGAAAACCCGCATACACAGCGGCCCTTTGCGGATAAGATTGGCCACCCCTGTGCTAGACCTTGTCGATGAGCGTCCTCGTTTGTCAACGACCGTAATTACTCCACACATGGAGAGGCAACTGGATGTCACATAGTGCCCATAATTTGTTGGCACTCTAGACATGGTACACCATTCCCAGATGCTCTGGCGGTGAAGGTGGACCACCTCGGGCTGCGCCAGTCAATGAGGGCACCTGTGGGCAAGCAACCTTAGTTGCACACCAGGTCAAGAGAGAGAACACCTGACTGTAAAATCATTTTGCAGGCCCTGACCCACAAAGGACCGTATGAGTGTTATTCTACTGACCTCAGAATGAACCATGCTCATTTCACTGGTTCGCCAACCTGCACCACTAAAGCCCCTACCCCCCCCCCCAGTCTGAACCCAGGCAGACGAGAGAATGGCACGAGCACTGGAAATGACATACAGCATCCAAAACACAATAATTCCTCCTGCTTGAATGTGAGGGCGTGCTGATAGCTCGAGGATGCAAACATTCCCTCCGATGTCACATGACAGACATGGGCGTACTCTACGAGTTATCTTTGCCCTATCAACAAGAACATGGTTCCCTGTAAATAAAAAATTACTAGAAACAGTGACTTTATCTCTCTCTCAGTGCCTGAAACCTACAGCACCCGACCCCCCAAGGGTATTGAGATGCACAGAACATGGTCTTGTGGGCAGGTGGAGCGCTGCTTGGAAAGGATCCATAATGAGTCAAGGAAAGAGGACGAAGGGCGTCTGTGACATTAATAGGCCAGTGGTGGGTGGGTGGAGACTTGAAACAAACCACTCAGACCTCCTTCAAGCCCAAATGAGGTAGAAGGTCAGTAAACAAGACAAAGGCGGTGCTCTGCTATGGCTTGACAGCCGTTGAGTGTCATGAAGTGACATTTTGGGAGAAGGAATGCCAGCTTACCTCAACAGCTTTATCAAGAGCAGCACATGTATCAAGTGAAGATGCCAAAGACCCCAACTGGCAGCCACTGAGACCAAGCAAAGACTGCCCTCCCACACCCAGAAGAAGAAAAGGAAAAAATATACTTACCTCCACCACGGCCTGGTCTGTAGTCCTTGTACATCGGCAGTGGTGTTGGAGATGGCGTGGTGCCTGCTCCTGGCTCCTCTGAACGTCTGAGCTCTGCCAGGAGGAAATAGAAAGAGAACAAACTGATCTTATCAACCACGCAACCATGACGGGGAGGGTCCTGCTCCTCATCGACTCCACCTCAGCATCTCCGCTCTATGTGAGGGGACCCTTATATCTGTATATCAGCTTAACCAGCTTTGGTGAATCCCAGCCAATCAGAAGATGAAGAATGTTTCACTCTATCACAGCTACTCTATCTGGAGTAGCTGTTATTATGATGCAATTGAAGGTGTAAATAAGCCACTAACGGAAAGGTAACCGAAAGGGCTCCAGAGACATAAACAGAAGAACATCATAAGCAGTAGCTTTGTGGATAAGGAGGTGGGTTTCATTAGCTGTACAATTAGCAGCCCTGTTTGGAGGGATGCCTTTGAGGGAAAAACAAAATGCAAAAAAACAGGGATGGTAAATACAGGCACATAAAGGACACCAAAATGCATTACACAGAAGTTCAAAATCCTAAAGAGCTGTAAACCAAAGCAGATCTAACTGGTCCTTTGAAGCATCCTGAAAACGTGTCTCTGGTGTGCTGTGGCAGCCTTGCTGGGAGGGTTGAGCAGATTTGGAACTCTCTACTCCGTACTCAGGCACCACAGGGTAGAGCATGAAATGTCAGTCTGCTAATCAGCGTCGAGGAGGAGACAAGTGCTTTACCTCTTCAATCAAATGGTCCAGACCTGCCCGTGGTTTTAAAGAGCAGAGCTTACCAGAAAAGAAGTGATGGATTCTTCCTATACTGACAATGACTGCCGTGGTTCACAACAAGAGAGATGTTTCCTGTCCAACTGTCATCTCAACAGCACTGGGACAGACTGAATCACACTTGCCAGAGGCGTCTTATTAATACAGATTCTTAGTGACAGGGTTGATCATTAATTATTAAAACCTTACATTTTAAATCGATCCTTGCTGAAAGCTTAACGTTTCTGCTGTAATGGAACGCCTGCTGTGACCTCAGAATAAAGCCTAGGGGTACGTCAGAAATCACATACTTGTTTTCTACGTAGTAGGTAAAATACAGTATGTGACATGACCAGTATGTCCGAATCCTCAGTATGAGTCAGACAGTAGCCAACAGTACCTGAGTGACGTGAAATAAAGTGTGCAATCAATGGACGCTACGCTATCCCACAAGGCCACTGATGCAGTGAAGAGCATCACTTGCTCAGAAAGATAGTAGGGAAAATGGCATCTCTGTACAAATTTAAGTAGAAAACAATGCCCAGTTACATTAGCTGACATAAATATGTATTTTTTTCATTGATAGTTTTTAAACAGTTTAACTTTTGCAGAGGTCAGGCTACATCATTGGAAAACATCTGGGTCAAGTAATATGTAAAATGGTGCCTGCAGTTTGTTGAAGTGTGTGCATACTATTCTCATACATACATATAGTACACACCGCATTCACGGTCGAGTAAGTCGGGGATTTAGGATGCACCCTATGTCTTCCACCAACCACAGCAGTTCCTGCAAGCATGAGAATGTCTAAGGGAGGCTGTGAAGAGCTACACCATTCCAGCCACCTTTAGTGTGACCACCCTCTGTGACCCAAGCCGGCACACTGTCTCCCCCCATTTCACATAACTGCCCCCCTGAGGTGGAGAGGGAAAATAAGTTTGGCAAAGCTTCGCCTTCTGTGACCCCCAGCTGAAGAGCGTCAGCATCACAGCTGTGGTCTGAGGACCCCTGACCTCTTCCTGGTTGTCTGGTGCCTTTAAATGGCCTTAACAAGAGGAGCAGAGTCATCCAGGTCAGAAAGAACACTTAGGGTTAGATAGCTGACCACAGAATCTCACCTGCCATGCAAGTTATAAATGCAAAAAACAGGTGATCTAGAAAATTCCTTGAAGAGCTGAGCATTATAGACTGTTGAGCTCGGTTTCAGTGCACACAAACACAGCACCCTGTGAATATACATTCCTACAAGTAATGTTTGTAGTGTTAATTGTAGTGTTAATTGGTTCAAGTCAATCTGTCATGCCATTGCTAGATTCTATCAGCACCGTTATTCAGAAGAAAAACTAAAAACAAACCGAGTTGAGAGACTGAGTCACTAATGTAGCCTGAAAGTGTGGAAAATAACACTCTGATTGTATTTACATTTCACAACAGCTAAATGGCACAGCAAGTCAATCAATGAAACAGATGAAGATCCAGTTAAAATTTAGCTGCATTGTCTAGTTCATCCTGGAAGATGAAAACCGGTAGAACAGGCCAGATCATCTGTCATCCAAACGTACCTGATCAACCAAAACCATGTTCGAGATAATTCAATAGAGGATGAGCCATCGTATATTTCAGAGGCACAGAGCTGAACTGTATCAATGCATAATACTTTCAAGATTAAACAGTTAATTAATAATAGGATTATTCAATGGATGCTCTAAAACAAAAACAGCACTGCGGCTTGGCTGACTAGCAAGCCAGTCAGTCACACATAACAGATTTACTCTGTGATCCTTTTAATATAAAGCTAGAAAACAAGATTGGAAATGGCTCATGCTGCAGTGCGACCCGGCACTCAACCCTTTGGAAAGTGTGTGCCTTGCAAAGAAAGCTGCGGTACAAGGTAAGATATTGCCAGCAGGAACCAGCCCAAACATAAGCTGTCTGACCCTCAAATTCCCCGCACTGTTAAAATGACTCTGAAATAAAGGTAGCTGGCTAGGCGGCAATAAAGACGCTCAGAATGGAAGATTAAAAGAGACCTGCACTTACTGCACAACCAAACAGCACGAATCCCTCTTTATTTCAGCGTGAGGGTGAGCAGATAGCAATAACCTAACTTCAAGCACGTATGCCATCATTCTGGCAACTTCTCTGCATTTCCTGCGTGTGAGTGGGTGGGCCAGACCTTTAAGACGTAAGCTGTAAAAATGTTTGTAGCGGTCTGAGGCAGACTTTAGAGGAGAGCATTATCATAAATCACTGCAAATGCCAGATCAGTCCATTGCACATTTTTCAATACATACGATTATCATCATGAGAAAGGAATACATTTTCACCCTGTCTGATTCATTTTCACAAAGTGCGACAACACCTCCCATCTGATTTTATGCAAGGACAAGCTCTAAGTAAAATACGATGTCTGTCAGGATTTCAACAGCGTGTTGACCTGTTTAAAGCTCCTATATTGTAAAATCTGATGAAAAGCCTGCCAACACCTCGACAGTGTGTTCCACTGGTCAGGTTGTTTTGACCCAACACGGCCACCTTCTGCACAGATGCAATGCAATATGCACAGAAAGACTGAGCTATGTGCAGGACCTGGTATAATACGGTGGACAAATAGACCCAAAGGTTTAACAGGGGTGACAATTGGGTAATACTTTACTACCTGGGAGAGGGAGACACGTTGTGGTTTGGAAGCTCTGATTTACAGAATTAAGTGCTCCAGATTTCATTTTTATTTTCTGGTGTAGAGTAGCAACTGGGATGGCCACGTATTTACTAGGTAGACATGGCCACCCCTTAGATCTACCCTTGTGCAGGAGATGCACAAGACCATGGTCAGAATCATGTCTGGCACTGTAGTCGAGGTCAGACTAGTTCAGACTGGGTCAGGACTGTGAGTACAGTGGGAAGCAAGGCTGCTCTCCACTGCTTGGCAAATGCACCCTAACTAGTCATGGGATGACATCTTCTAATAACTGTCTTCTCAATCCATGGCAGCCTGTTAAATAAAAAACATACATTCCACAATTTACTTAGCTTCTGCTATTAAAAAAATGTTTCAAAAAATAAATTTGAGCTCCAGGTGAGCAGAAAGGTGTTAGCACAAATGTAAGTCTTCTGTCACCCTGGACATGGGTGAAATCACCATGATTCTGTGTGCATTGGCTACTGATCAAGTAAACTTATGAGATGCTGGACTCCACCATCTCAGGTCAGGAGGTGCAGGGGTTGTACAATTCTCCCGCTGTGAAGAGCTGCTGCCCCTGCCGCTATGACTTTGCTTTACCGCTGTCAATAGCACCTCATTGCCATTCCAGCCAGGCCTCGAAAATGTGCACACATAGCTTTATTAAATGTGACACCCTAGACACTGTAACATTACTTTTTAGTAACACATGCTTGACCTTTCAATTTGAAAATGGATTGTAGGTTCCTGAAATTTACCCTGAGCCTGTCCTGTAATAAAAAAAACACCACAGTTCACTCAGCTTTAATTGGGTGAAGAACACCTTTCTGCGAGTGTCATGGTAACTGAATGTATTTCCATGATGTAATCCCTGCTTCATTTTGTCAAAAGGCTTGCTTGATAATTATGTGCATTTATATGTATGTCTGAGATAAATGGAAAGTGCTGTTTGAGCGCAATTATGCAACTCAATCATCGAATCAGCAGCACCAACCAAATGAGTTCTGATGCATCAAGAATGCTCCAGCTAATTAGACAAGCACCTCTGAACCAAGGTGATTGGACGAGAAGTAAAACAATTGAGGGCCTAACTGAAAGGTCTATGTCAACTGGGCACCATTTTTGTTAACCAAAGAGAACAAAACATTTAAAGGTGGTACCACGTGAGAAAGTGGACAACATGCATTTACTCAACGGCACACGACCTTCAGTGAGGATGGTGAACAGACCCATGTGACATGGGGAAGGGGGCTGAGAGCAGAGATGGTCTTAACAAATCATGAGGGAAATGAAAAAAAAGACACAGTCATGTAGGTCTCAACACAAGGGTAACACACAGGAAAGTATAACAGGCATCCACTGATGAGAAAGTTTATGGGGTTTAGGATCAAGCGTGAGAGCCAGTTCTCCCTAAAGCAAATGAATGGTCTAGGTACCTAACTAGCTGGTACACCCCCAACTTACCACAATATCTCCCCACACTTCCAGCCTCCCAGAAGTAAGGTGAATGCACTGGTTTTAACGTTTTGAGTTCATTTCTTATTAGCACTTACTGAGTGACTTCTTCAGCCAATGACACCAGACGTCTGTTTTTCACTAGAGAGAAATCAAATTAAAGCAGTGTTTT